CCGTTGGGGGATGCTTGTGCCTATCGGCATCTTTCCTGTCCGTAGATTTTTTTTAAATTTCTTGATGAAAACAGCGTAGATCCCAGTCAGTGATCAGACGTTTTACAGAGCTGAGAGCGCTACTCCCTGGGGATCCGAGTTAGCTTTTCCTGTTAAGTGAGAGAAACTCTGCTTACAAAGATCCTCACCTTTACAAATCTTTCCTGCTTCAAGCATACATATATATTTTTATTTTTAACTTTTTTTTTTTAATGAGCCTGCCCTGTTTTGCGGTTCTAGCCCGTGACAGTGTTGTGAGAAGTAGACTGTTGTAGTTCACTCCAATGGTGATAACCTTGGAGGAGAGGATGTGGTGGAAAGTCCAGGAGGGGAAGTTGATGCAGTGGCCAGTTTTCCTATCGGTTGTACGGTTGGCCTGAGACAAAACTAAGACTTTATGTCGTTTCTGCTGTGCTCTTTGGGATCACTCAGAGATGTTGCACGCTCACATGAGCAAGGCCAGACCTGCAGGTTGTCTAATGCATCCCCTGGAGATGGGGAGAAATGGAGAACCTCTCCAGCTGGTGGATGCTCATCACGTGGTGAGCTTGGCAAGGGTTCGGTGGCACACAGGGCACCCTGTGCTCCTGGGGTCGGCTAACGCTGCAAAGCTGGAGGGCTGTGGGGGTGTGCGGTGCCCTGCTGATGCCTCCTACAGAAGGAGCTGCTGCAATAGCAATAGTTGTGCATTGGGTAGCTGGAGAGGTGTGGGGAAATATCGCCTCAATGCTTTCTCTTCTTTAGTTCATGTGTTATGTTGTTTGGAAACAGGAAAGAATCGGAGGCTGAAGCAGGCGAAAGAAGAAGCCCAGGCAGAGATTGAGCAGTACCGCCTGCAGAGGGAGAAGGAGTTCAAAGCCAAGGAAGCAGCGGTTTGTTTTCTAGACCATTCACTGTTACCTACCCATCCAGTATTACCCTTTAGCCTTATGTTTGGGGTTACTTGTCCTGAGAACAGCCCTTGGGGTGGAACGTGTTGCCAGAGGAGTACTTCCCCAGTTGCCTTCCTCTGATGCACAGCCACGTGCCACGGAAAAACCAGTGGAAGTGAATCAGAACATGGTGTATTGCATCTCAACAGCCAGAGCTACTGCCTGGCAGTGAATTAGCTTCATAAGTTCATGTGTTGGCTGGTGCCCTGCTGGGTGGCAACCTCCCAAAACCAGCTGTATGTAGCAGTGTCAAAAAAAGACCAGCCTCATTCCTCCTGTGACAAGCTGCTTTCTATGATGTTAATGTGGTAGAAACTGCTGCTGTCTTACTGAAGCAATTTTAAGGCTTGTATTCTGCTTAGCAGTCTTGCCTGCTGTGTCCCAAGGGGTGTCTGAGCAAGAGGAGGTATTCCCAAAAGGCACAGAACCGTGGCCCTTTACCAGCTGAGGGCTGTAGCTGTCTGTCTCCTGGTTAGCACAATACCACCTCCTCTGTTCTGCATAATAGCTTTCATGTCAGTAGGTCAAGATTAAATTTTTACAATCTCCTGTTAGCTTCGTTCACTAGGCATATGATTCCAGGCTGATAAAGTGGACTTCACTGCCAGCCAGCTGGTTCTATTTGTCCTTCTCCAAAGAGAGAAACAATTTGAATTTAAGTCCCAGGGTGCTACTCTCCTTCAGCATACTTTTTCTGTGCCTTTCCCCCATCCCGCTTATAATGGGAGTTTGCTCTCTCTGCCCTTGCTTATGCAGCAAGAAGGACATTGTAAGCTGTGAGAAATTCCTTGCAGTCCTGTTAGGAAGGCAGAGATTTTTTTAATAAAGATTCTCCAAGGATAGAAGCAAAGGGATGATGGGAACCCTGTGCTTAAACTAAATCGTGGGTGTTACTTTTCTCACACTATTCAGTAAAGTAGTGCCCAGGGGTTCTCAGTTCTAGTTGCCAGTACAGCAGGACCTTTATTTCAGGCACTCTGTAGATGCTCATGCTTTAAACTAATGAAAAAGAGAGGGTAAAAGGCAGGGGCTGTGGAAGAAATACAAACTTGGGCAAGTTTAGTGGGAAATTGAGCAGGGAATCCAGAGAAATATTTAGGTGCAGTTCTCTCCAAAGATTAATGGAGTGAGGCAGTCCAGAATAACAAAATACAGAGCTGGGCATTGCGTTTTCTTTGTCAAACTACTCCCATGTGAGCTTTCTCTTTCCTTTTCTATTTGTAGGCCCTTGGATCTCATGGCAGCTGCACCACTGAAGTTGAGAAAGAGACCCAGGAAAAGATGAGCGTGATCCAGCAGAACTTCCAGAAGAACCGTGAGGTGGTCCTCTCCCAGCTGTTGTCACTAGTGTGTGACATCAAACCTGAAATCCATGTGAATTACCGCATCAATGGGTAGTAGTGGAAGAAGGAATAAGCATACTGGAAATGCTGGTAGTAACGTCTGAGCTTCAGGTGGAATGTACAGCTCTTAGCCATACCTTAACTGTTCTTGTAAATGTGTTAAATTATTTCAGTGAATTGTAGGTCATCAATATCTTGTTGGAGTTCTGTTAGTTTCTTTCTTGACACGGATTCAGAACTTATTCAAACATTAAACGTCTCAAATCAGTGCAAGTTATTAAATATATATTCAAGTTGGCCCATTAATGCTCCCTTTTTATCTGGATTGTATTCAGTGAGAGGCCTTCCTCTGAGAAGTAGAAGGGAGAGAGAGATGCTGGCCAGGTTTAAATGGAGAGCCTGTGTCAGTAATTGTTAGACCTGTGTAACTGTATTCTTGATGACCAAAATGCATTTTTTCAGTGTGGTGTTCACATTTGTGCAGGGGTTAAACCTTGTAAGAATAATTCTCTGGCTGTACAGTGCTGGCTGATAATTTTCAGGTGCTTGAGTTTCTCTGTATTGAATATCCTCTGTATATTCTGCTGTTAGCTTGAGTTACAAGTCTGGCACTTGAAAGTAAAAACACTTATTTAACTCCAAAGCCTCTTTTGTTCTGAGAGTACTGACAGGTCTCGCTGTGTAGCATGGGAGTCTGGACTCTGAAGAATGAATATCAAGTATTGATAAAAGAAAGTGTAAGAGATACAGCAGATGTCTGAAGGTCTCAGCAGGTAAGTTAAAAACCCATTACAGAGCTCCTCCTCTTGGCTCCAGTCTGATGCTTTACCTGCCAGATCATTCTGAAAACCTTCAGGAACAAATGTTGTGACCATTAGGGGAAATAAAATGCTGCCAGTTCACTAGAATAGTTTGATACCCAGGAGCTGTGCAGTAATTATCCTTCCTTTAGTCGTTGCTTGTTTATACCAAGGTCATACTGCAGCATCCTGCTATACCCGGGGACAGTGTGAAATAAGTCTGTTGGGCTTGTCTGTGCATCACTTTCTAGCTCTGTAATCAAAAATACCCACACAACACATCACAAGGCTTCATGTTCCAGCAGTTTCTTCCTCTCTCACCAGCAGAATATTAAATGTAGGCTTGCTTTTTCTGTTGAGCTCAATTTCAGGCTTTTTGCAGAAGAGAGACCTCAATGAGGGCATACTTGATCATGCCCAAGAGTTGTGCGCTTGGGGGTCTAAGTAAGAAACCTTAGTGATGCGGTTCCTCAGGCAGAATGTCCTGTATTTCCACAGACCCTCAGTGTAGCATTGAAAAGCCTCTTGGACCTGTGGAGTTTGATTGTGCTTGGGAGGGAGGAAAGCAGGATGGATGAAAGTCGTAACAAAGGAATGAGTATCTGCCTGCAGTCACACAAGGCAGTGAGAGAGTAGGCTGCTGTGGTGTCTCCTGTTGTAGTATTCTATGGTAGCATACTGTAGTTCTGAAAGGATCTCTCCAGGAATTCAAGCGATTAAACAGGTTGTAAAATTGAAACAAAAGCCTCCTGCAAAGTCAAATGTGTCAGGCTGGGGAAAAAGCCAGGTCGGTACAAGGAGAACAGGATCAGAGTGGTTTTAGTGACTGGAGAAGTGCTGTGGCCTCATAAATGGTTGCAGCCATCTCTGTCCTTTGGAGAGGAAACATTTCTTCCTGTTGAGAACAGGTGCTCAGGCTCCAGCATGATACTCCTAATAAAAGCCCTCCAGGCTCTAATTAGCAATTTGATTCTGTTTGTTTATCAGTAGAAGACTGCTACTAGTGGGTGCCCCCGTTTCTCATGTTGGTTCAGAAGTCTCCCTTCGTTAATGAGGACTTTGTATCCTTGCTCTCTAGAATAGTAAGAGGCAGGAGACAAGGAGAAAAACATTCCCTGATTATTTCCTCTTGGCAAAAGGTGATGTGAAGACAGTCCCTTTAGAACGGTGTGTTGCAAGAATATCAATTTTCTGTCATATTTCCCTGAAACTTAACTTGAGAATTACCTGACTTTCTAACTTCGCACAGAAGAAAGTATTTCTAATTACTGCTCTCCAGGAAGGCTGGCCTTGTTTGCAGTGTGGATATTTTATTTTAAATTGAGATTCTCTCATCTTACTGTGTGATGCTCTGGGCAACCCTGGTACTATCTTTGTGTTTAAGCCAGGCTGTGCCAGAAAAATACTCTGCAGGAAACAGTCTTCTACTGATAGAGGTATGCAGTTGCACAGTTGGCTCCCTGCCTCTGAAATCTGATTTTTCTAGAATTTCTGCTGCAAATCTGATTAATTGGAGTAAAACCTACCCCAGCTGCTGGTACAAATCTGCCTCCGAAGTCTCCCTGCTGCTGCTCTGCCTCCTTCATCCCTTGCGGCTGTGGCCCCGTGTATATGAGCCATAGCTTGCCCTTGCACGGCAGGAGGGGGCAGGAGCTGGTTGGGCCCATGTGCCGCTGTCGGAGTCCTTTGCCTGGAGCTCTGGCCCCTGGAAGCGGGCTGAGCGCCAGCCCAGTCGGGCTCCTGGCGCTGCGTGGAGGTAAGAAGCGGTCAGCGCTCGTGTCTTGCGCCATGTCAAGCGAGTGGCTACGGCTGTTGATTTCTCCCAGTTAAAACTTTGCAAATAACCACTTGCCGGGGGTCAACACAGGCGCGTTAGGATTGACACGGTGCGGTTCGGTGCCAGGCACGTCCGTGTTCATCAACAATCGTTTAGACTTGATTTTTGTGGAATTTCTTTTCAGCCACTCTCTATTCATAGAGTTGATACGTTTCACTTTTAAAATGCCATTGAGGAGGCGAGTCGTCTGTACAAGCACCAGATGGACAAATGGCTTTATTAAACACCAGGATGAGAGTGTCATCTGGATGGCTTAACGTGCGGTTTGGGGTACAGTTGGGACACGCATTTGTGCTGCTTGAAGCCAGAGTTCAATTTTTAAGCTGTGTCTGTGTTGACAGAGCTTGCTCCCCGCTCAGCTCGCTGTTGGGTCTGAAGGTCGGCGTCTCCTCCTTGCTGCTGCCTGTTCAAGCGAGGAGTTAAGGAACAGTTAGAGAGCTCAGCACCCCTCCGGGAGGGGAGGTAGAGGGGAAATCAAACCTCCGATCCCGGTTGGGTCTGCCTGCTCTGCTCTGTATGATGGTGCTTGATAATTACTGGGGTTTTTTTGGTCAGTTCAGAGCTGGTACGGGTTTGATCCCCTGTGCCTTTGTTGCAGTTACATCCCAAACCACGAGGGAAGGGCGTAGCGATGGCCGGGAGGGACGAGATGATGAGATGCGGTGTGCGCAGCGATGGCCGGGAGGTCCCTCCGCAGCCGCTCGCAGCCTGGGTGACTCCACCCGGCGCTGCAGAGAGCAGGCGACGGGCAAGGCAGCGCCGCTGCTGGGAGACTCGTTCGGCCAGCGTGGAATGGCAGGGAGCGTGCTTCTTTCCGCGTTCGGTTCCTGGTGCTTCCTGTGGCACAAGAACAATCATTTAATTATCTTTATAGCACCATTCTGTGCCTTATTTAACTTGTGATTTTGTGTGTTTGTTGCAGAGAAAGTAATTTTTCCCCTCTAAAGTTCCCCCCCACTGTTTTCTCTTCCTCCCTTTTCAGGGTCCAAACACAGAAATACAGCAGGAAAATCACCCCCAGCCCCAAATCTGGAGTCCAGGAGTTTGAGGAAATTAAGAGGGGAGCAATTTTGGCTGCCAGAGCCTCGTCACATACTCCCCCGGCAGGTTGATTTGGACAGTTTCAGAACCACAAGAGAGGTCCCTCAATTTTCCCAACGCTGTGGCTGCTGCTGAAGACGCATGAGCCGTCCCTCGTTCTGCCCCGCGGTGACGGGCTGCTGCTAGGTGGTCACGTCAAAGTGCCTCGCACCCATCGTTCAAGGTATCCCAGCGTCGAAGTCCAAATTTGGCAACCTTGAATTCCTCATTCTTCTGCTTTTGCGACATCCCTACATGATTCTTGATGATCTTTAATAAAGCTGGGGCTTTTTTTTTGCGTGCTTGCTATAAGCCCATCAAGCTGCTGATGCTCCCTCCCATCCACAGCTTCGGGCTCCTGCTCTTTTCCCCACCTGCCCCAGAGCAACGGGGTACGCTGGCAATAAGCAACCCTGCAGAAAGGCCAGCAGCTCCTGGCCTGCGAGGCAGCTCGTGGGAGATGTGGACAGCAAGACGGTGTGTCCCAGCAACAGGCTGCACGAAGAGCAGCTGGGCTCAGTCCTATAAAAGCACACCCTAATTTTGACTGACCTAATTACTCTTCTGCTCTCTGGCTGTTCCGGTGTACCGTCAGTTACAGATAACTATGTAAAAAGAATGCCATCCCACTTCCTTCTCTCTGCCTGTACGAAACCTGCTCGTTTTTCTTTTTTGTGTCTATTTTCCTCAGCTGGAATCTCTTCTACCTGACATCAGGAGCTCTTGCATTAACGCATAGTAAGAAAGACAAGCCTAGAACCCCCTGATCCCAACTGAGGTTTTGGCTTCAAAGTGTTAAAAGGCAAAACTATCAAGAACACTCAAGATTAATGTTTTGTTGAAAAAGTTCCCCAAAATAATCCAAAAAAAGGAGCATAGTGTAATCTTTCTTTGAGGCTGAAGGGAGAAAGTACTAATTTCATGCAGAAAAGATTGTATCTTGGACTGGCACAGGAATAGAAAATAAATAGGTATTAAATTACGTTTGGCTGTCTCAAAATAATCTAATAAAGCATCTGCTGGATCAATAGCTGAATCATTAGCCGAGGCACATGGCAAGCCTGCCTTTTTTTAATTTGAGATGCAAGACAGAGGTTTTTTCATTACCATAATAAAAAGAATAATACTTTAAGTCTTCACAGGAAAAAGGCAGAAATAGGGAAATAAACAAGAACGGCACTTTATGCCTTAAGCAAGTGTCATTTTTCATTTGAAAGATGTAATTTAGGGATATTGTGAAATAAAGTTTTTATATTTAATGATTGTCAATCTGTCAGCTTTGCTGAGCTGTTTGACAAAAAAAACCCAAACAAACACCAAACCCGGAGTCCGTGAAAGAAGACTTTGTGTGCAGGAAGAGCAGGGAAGAGCAAGACGAGGCTTTCAACAACTTTGTTCTCCTAATTAAGGCTCACTGGGAGAACAAAAAAAAAAAAAAAAAGTTACCTACCAAAAATGCAGCTTCATCAAAAGAAAATGAGATCTGCCTGTGCTGGCTGCTGCTCACGGCTGCAGTGTGCACGGCCATCTCCGTAGGGAGGGACCCCTGCAAATAAAGCAGGAGTAACAGCGGTGGGTTACCAGCCTTTCAAACATTGCAGACGAGTGTATCAAATCATGCAATAAATATACAGAGAAAATATGGTCTTGGGAGTTAAAATAGGAAAAAGCAGGCTGGTGAGAGTATGTCTCGGTGTTTAAAGCAGCGGGACTTGAAGGAGTTTGAGGAAACAATCTGGGAGGTTCCCGGAGTGT